AATTTAGCAGTTTTTAAAGCATCGCAATGAGAAACTAAATAAAAGAAACATTTTTAAGGTAATTCACAGTGGAAACTTAAGTTTATGAGATGAATCATCAGGCAGGTTAAAAAAGGCATACATTTACTGTCTTATTATTTAAGAACTGCAGCTAATTTAATTTCCCCAAATATGCATTAAGACATTTCTGCTTGTCCATTTCAGTGTTGGGAGAGATTTCTTTAAATAAATGAAAATACATTTTCTTTTCTTACAGCTTTATATTCTTCTTACACATTTAAATATTGTTTATATTCTCAAATCAATGAGAATTTGTACTAAATATTCAATTTGCTCAACGTAAAAAATGGAAACAGTGATTTGCTAAATGATCAATGCTGACCTTTTTTAATCCAAATACTTTTAATTATCCAAAATTGGGAGGTACAGGTGGGAAGCATGTTCACTTTCCAAATGTGAATCACATTACATACACATTCTCTTATCTAATTCAACAGGATGCCCACCCACTGGCACTGAAAAGCTGTAATCCCAGCAAGCAAGAGCCATACCCGTGTGCATGCACTCATGTGAAAATATCACACACACTAAATTGCATTGAGGCCGTGACAACATGCAACTTAGTAATGTGCAATATCTCCACCAGAGCAAGCAGAATGGGAGCATCGGGGAAGAAGGGTGTGATGTACACATTCAGGAGACAACATGCTGCTAAAGAGAGGAAAATGGTCTGGGGATAAAGGATGCATGCCATTGACTCAAAATTTCATGAAATGAAAACCCAATTGCAAATGTATTCAACTGAGAAGAATACTTATTCAGAATCAAAACAATGATTAAGGTTCAAAACGTCAATGAGATTGTGATCATAAAGAAGCCACATATTTTGGAAGGCAAAGCTTCAAAAACAGACACATTCAATGTCTGGTCATGCAATTAACCCCCAATTTCAATTCCACCTTTTACTTATTCACAGATCATATAAATGAATGTAATGATTTCCACTTAGCCGCAACATGGATGATGATTAACAACTGATGCTTATAAAAGTTGGTATCACTGATATTTGTAGGCTAAACTGTACTCTGAGGCTATTATAATAATGTTTTCATAATCATTTATAAATTATAAATCATAACCATTTATTTTTTCCCTCACAATCTTTTTCCATGAAGAAACATATTGCCTCTTCAACACAAACCTTCAGGATGAAAAATCCAACAGGAGCTCTTAGAAACAGAATTCACTATCATCTTCTCCAGAGGAGAAAGCTCTTCAGAGGAATCTCTATAAAATCTGTACATTTTAAGTCTTGAAATTGAGCCAGTAAAGAGACAGCTCTAAGAACTTAAACTGCAAAAAAATCACCTTGAATTAAAGCCTTCAATTTACATAACTTGATATAGCTTTGGTTAGAAAAATGGTCCAGGCCATAAACTGTTCTTTAGTCTTTAGTCTGTACCATATTTATCAGACTTATAAAAATCTATCAATTCTGAGAACCTTTAGATTATAGTTCTGGTACCAAAGGTTGTTAAAACTTTTTTCTGTATTTAAAATAAGGTGATAAAAAAACAAATGGTTTTTAAATCCCAGTATACTTTGGAACCAAGACATGAGCTACCATTATAATATATAATTAGTGTGTGCACTCCCAAGAAGGTAAGTCTAATTTATAAAAGACGGATTTCCTCATATCCCTGTAGATGACAGCATTGTTTCTAATCTCAAATTCTCTCTGGAGACAAAGACCTGAATTTCTAAGTCCCATTCTCTTTTATTTTATTTTATTTTTTTTTTTGAGATGGAGTCTCGCTTTGTTGCCCAGACTGGAGTGTAGTGACGCGATCTTGACTTACTGCAACCTCCGCCTCCTGGGTTCAAGCAATTCTCCTGTCTCAGCCACCAAAGTAGCCAGGATTACCGGCACCTGCCTCCACGCCCAGCTAATTTTTGTGTTTTTAGTAGAGACAGGGTTTCACCATGTTGTCCAGGCTGGTCTTGAACTCCTGACCGCAGGTGATCTGCCCACCTTGGCCTCCCAAAGCGCTGGGATTACAAGCGTTAGCCACTGCACCCAGCCAAAGTCCCACCCTCTTATGTCCAAAAATGTAACTCATGATCTCACCTAACCAGCTCCTCCTGAGAGAATGCATTATAGTGTAACAGAATACGTGTTTTCAATCAGTTGAATGTAGGTGTGACTCACAGCTTTACTTACCACAGACTGGCAAACACGACATCTAGGAATTAAGTTTAAAACAAAAAAAGGTGGCATGTTTGCTAAGGAAAAAGGTGACTCAATGACAGACATTTAGAGGATGGTCTGCGCTAAGAAAGCAGAACAAAAGAAAATTCAAAAGCTGTGAATTTGAAAATAGAAACATTTTTCTAAGAATAAGAGTCAGTAACAGTGAAGGTTACTTGAGGAAAATGGAAGTATCATCTTTCTTGAAGTTCTTTATGAACAAGGTAGATATTTTTCTGCAAGGCTTGGCATAATTCACACTGACTGGAGAATTCCTACCAGCCTTTGATATGGCTGCTCCAGTAGCATTATCCTATTGGGAAGATAAAAGGTTAGCCTTCCTTGTTGGTACAGCATTTGCAGAAGCTTTTTTGAGTCAGAAAGATATCATCTAGATAAAGAAAAGATAATCTATTGCTAGAATTTTTGTCATTTCATTTATTCAGTAAAGATGATAGCCAATGGTCACATAGGACTTAGGAGGGAAGCTATAGCTGGTACTTCCCTCAAAAGAGCTTCACCCCAAATGCTGTTACACTGGATAATATACTCCCAAATCTGGAATCTTTACAGATTGCCCCATGTGGATACCTGAGGGCACTATACAGATGTTAAGAGCATTTTTTAAAGAATCCCACTTGACAGCCAATCAAGGAAACAGGTAGTAGTGAAGACCTTACCCAGGCCTTGCTAGTAGGAAAAAGGGAGAGAACTTAGCAAAGTTTCTACATACATTATATTTTCAGGAGCATGCACCCTGTTTGAATGTAACTGACGGTTTTCTAACAATCAAAATGGGATTCTCCCTAGCTATTACATGAATACAGTGAAAAAATAAACCAATATCAGTCAGATCCGATTATCAGAGGAAAAAACAAACAAACAAACAAGATTTCTGTGGAAGACTAGTTCCAGATAATGGTATTTATTAAAAGTATATGGAAACAGAAATGCCAGCCAAAGATTCACTACTCAAGAGATGCTTAAGACCACCTGGTTAACAACATACTAGAAAAAAGAGCTCTAATGGACAATACGAGGGTTTAATTTGAGATCAATTCCTAAGAAGTAAAAATGTATTTGAGTCTTGTTAATGAGCAATGAGGACAAGGGTTGGAGGAGGGGCTGAGAGAGGCCTGCTCCACAAAAGGGCACTCCCTACCATAAATGATGAAGAGGAAAAGAAAGGAAGCCAAGAGCCATGACCTGGAAAAAGCTTATGGGGAGGAAAAGTTGAAGAAGTTCATTCAGAAATCAAGTCTGTAAATACGTGGATGCCAGAAGTCATGATGAAAGTTTCTGGCCAGAACGTGCAGTGCATACAGAGCCTATGACCTAGAGATAACCAACAATTCTGCATTTCCAGTATCCAATCTACCCCTTGCAGAGGGCACAGCTTGGCTCTAGGATAGAAGGAGAAACAGGAAGGCCACCTACTCTCCTTCTGGAGCAAAGCTAGAACTCGTGACAGCAGAGAGTTCTGAAAGAAGTAGGAGATGGGGGTGGTGGAAGCGGGGGTTCTCCTAAGCAAGTGACATGATGCTAAGAGCTAGTCTAAGATCCTGCTGATGGAAAGCTGATGGGGATACACAATTACATCTTTGTAAATCACATGTTTAAGAGGAGGTTATCAAAACTGCTTTGAATTTTTAATTTTTGTTTTGTTTTTGAGACAGGGTATTACTCTGTTGCCTAGGCTAGGCAGTGGTGTGACCATGTTCACTGCAGCCTCTATCTTCCAGGCTCAAGCAATCCTACCATGCCAGCCTCTTAAGTAGCTGAGACTACAGGTGCATAACACCATGCCTGGCTAATCTTTCATATTTTTAGTAGCCACAAGGTCTTGCTATGCTGCCCAGCTGGTCTCAAATTCCTGAGCTCAAGCAATCCTCCTGCCTCAGCCTCCCAAAATACTGGGATGACAGGTGTGAGCCACTGTGCCCGGTCTTTTTTTTTTTT